CAGCACAAAAGTTAGAATCATGCAAGCCATTGTATTCCCTATTACAATTATTATTAATCAGGAAGTTCTTTCTAATGTTAAAATGGGTTAAAGCAATTTTAAATAATACACCCTGAGATATATACAAGAGCCAGCATGGTATAGTGGTTTGAGCACTGGACTATAAATCTGGAGATCAGGGTTTGATTCCCTGTTTGGGCATAAAAACCTGCTGAGTAACCTTGGCCAAGTCACACTCTTTCAGTCTCAGAGGATGGCAATGGCAACCCCCCTCTGAAGAAGCTTGCCCGCCATCTCAAAAAATGACTTGAAGGCAAAGGAGGAGGAGGAGGAGGAGAAGACATACACATTTCTGGATGAAATCACTTATGCCCAAAGACTTTATTAAAAAGTCATGTTTTGATCACCTGGTGCTGAAATGATCCCAATGTTGGCACCAGTTGGGCCTGCAAAGGGAGGGAATTCTATGAACTGGGTGCCACCACAGAGAAGGCTGTCTCCCCTGTCCTCACAACATATTTCCCCAGTTGGTGGGACACAGAGGAAAGATCTCCAATAGATCTCAATACAGTAGACCTTGGTATCCATTGAGATTTAGGGTCTTTACAGACTGCCAGAAATAGTGCACATTAAATTGAGACACTGCCCTGGCTCAGTGCTAGGGAATCATGGGAACTGTAATTTATTGTGGCACCAGAGCTCTCTGACAGAGAAGGCTCAGTGTCCCAGAAAAAAATACAATTCCCATGACTCCCTAGCACTGAGCCAAGGCAGTGCCTCAATTTAATGTGCACTATTTCTGGCAGTTTGCAAAGGCTTTTAGTTCCAGGACTCCCCCTCCATTAAATATAAGTCCCATTAAAGTCCCATTAAATATAATGGCATAGTGAAATGGTATCCCTAATATAAAATGGCAGAGGGCTAGCATGGTGTAGTGGTTTGATTGTTAGACTATGACTCTAGAGACCAAGGTTCAATTCCCTGCTCATCTATGAAACTTCACTGGATGACCTTCAGGGGAACAAATTTTACCAAGAAAGCCCTATGATAGGGTCACCTTAGAATCTCCACAATTCAGAAGCAACTTGCAGGCACACAAGAACAAGAACAACATATAAAAGTAGCAAAATCAAGATTTGCTTTTTGGAATTTATATTTTTTTTGAATATTTTGAAGCCATGAATGGTTGAATCCATGGATTAAGTATCCATGGATATGGTCAGGCCGACTGTACATACAGCCATATTGTCTCTGATCTGGGAGCGGGTGTATAGCTATTCTAACTAGTAGCCAGTGACAGCTCTCCTCCATTAATTTGTCTAATCTAATTCCTATATAAAGCCATCCAAATTGGCAGGTATCCATTGTTCTTGTGGCAGTGAATTTTAACTATGTGTTGTGTAAAGAAGTACTTTGTGTTGTGTAAAGTGAAATTCAGTGCTGCAAGATTCAGGACAGATAAGAAGTACATCTTTTATATCTGTCCTGAATCTCACAACTGAATTTCAGTGGATAACCCAAGGTTCTGTTATTATGAGAGGAAAGGAGAGAAGCTTCTCCTTTTCTCCTTTAGTCCTACCTGAAGAATGAATCTTGGACCTTCTGGATTTAAAGTGTGTGCTCTACTACTGAGTTACAGCCCCTTCCCTGAAGTCCAGATGTGCGTCACTGTGTGGGACAGAATTCTGGAATGAAAGAAGTTGCCATGGGTTTGATCTGCTGTGGCTGTTGTTACATTCTTATACTTTGCTCTTCATCTGAGGCCAGATCTCCCAAACGACACTGATGACAAACATCTGTCAGGGATAACGTAGGCCTAGTGAATCTTGTTGCAATGCATGGGGGTTGAGAGCTATGGAGTCCTTCCATGCTACAATGACAAATTTTCCAAAAAAACAACCCCCATCTTTGGTTTTTAAAGGTCAACATTCCAATGCACTTCCCTTCAGAAACCACAGATCTATTTTAGCCAATATCCACCACCAGAAAGGAACTTCCTGCTTACAATCATTGCATGGATTCTGCAATTCCCTTGTAGCCTATCAAAGACCCCCATGGTTCTGGAACATTGTTTATGCATTATTAGATTCTGCCAACATTTGTTGTTTGTTGACTTTCTTCTGTCCTTCTCCAGCTGAGCCTATGATGTGATCATTGTCCATGAGCTTGAAAGCATTTTCCCCACATGTGGTGCAGAAGACCACTGGCTTCAATTATATTTGTCACAGGAGGTGAGTGGGCAGCAAACTCAGCTCAGTGCTTGAAATGAAGTCACATTGCTCTTTCACTAGGCTTCAGCCATAGAATTGCCTTGAATGTTCTTGAGCCTTCTACTCTCTGTCCCACAAGAAGAAAAGACAGACCACTTGGCAGTTGCTTGTGAACAATTTGCTTGACAGTTTGCAGATAAAATCACGATCCACTCAAACTTGGATAAAGGTCCAGTGGATGTGACCTTGGCTGTCCAGCATGTGGATACCTTTCTCTCTGTGCAAACTGAGGATGTGAACAGGATAGCACATGGTGGCTCTCACTTGGAGATGTAAGAGCCACCATATGTATACTGGAATCAGGCCCTTCCTGGCTCATAAATGCAAAGGGGGGACTGACCAAGTTATTAAAGAGCTTCGAGAGCCAGCATGGTTTGAGTGGTTTGAGTTCAGCCATGAAACCTAAGGGTGACCTTGAGCAAGTCACATTCTCTCAGCCTTAGGGAAAGGCAATGGCAAACCTCCTCTGAACAAATCTTGCCAAGAAAGCCCCATGATAGGTTCACTTTAGGGTCACCATAAACCAGAAAGACTTGAAGCCACTCAGCAACAAACAACAAGCAAGAAAGTCGATACTTCACCGCTGCAAGGCAAGTTGTTATCCTGCCTAAAGCAAGGTGTGTTGTGGCCGTTACCAAAAAAGAAGTCCCCTCCCATGAATCTATCCTTTTATTGGGCAGGATTCTGGACCGTGTGGACATCTCCCAGCCCCAGAGGTTTCTGGATAAAACATATTCTTTAAATTCATTTCAGTCTGGATTCAAGCTTAGTTGTGAGATGGAGATGGCCCTTGGTGGATGGCTCATAGCAGAAACTGGACAGGGAGAGTGTGTCCCTGTTGGTCCAGCTAGATATCTCAGTAGTTTTCGGAGCATCAACCATGGTAACATTCTGAACTGCTTTTCTGGGGTGGGATTTGAGGGAGATGTTTTGCAGTGTCCCAGTCCTTCCCAGACAGAAAAACTCAGAAGGTGATGCAAGGGGATACCTGCTCAACACTCTGGCTGTTGACCTGTGGTTCTCTCAGAAATGAGTTTGGTGCTGCCGAGAAAAGTTGTCTAGAGTTTTGACATTCAATGTCACCAGTTTGTTGATGACAGCCAACTCTATCTCTCCTTGCATGCAACCTATTTAAAAAGTATATTGACATTGCTATGCACATCTACCTCATAATGTATTTTGTGTACCTCATATTTTGATATCTCCTATTTGGAGATAACATGTTTTTGAGAGATCAGTGACCTTTCAGGAATACTAAGAAGGTCAGGTTCCCAGGGGAAAAGTAATCGTTTCCCCTAGGCATGTGTACATCCAAGTAAACAAAGCCATCAAATCTAAAGTGCTTCATCCTTCCTTCATAGTCAGCATTTCCTCTCAAAACCTGAGAAAAAGGATCTCTTTGCATGTAAAGCAGTAAGCCAATTTCTCTGCATATCCCCTGTTGTGTTTCCAGCCAAACTTCTCTATCCACCCATCTCAGGACTATCCCAATCCAATCACTGCTTTTGTAAAAACCATCAACCAGTCTGGAATCCCATTGTTGATTCCTGGGACAACCCATTCAGTCTTGTCTCCGGGACCATCTCCTTCCATATAACCCTCCCCATGCTCTTAGGTCCTCTGGGAGGAAATTGCTACAGCCTATGAAAATTAGGCTGTCGGTGACCTCCCAGAGGTCCTTTACTGCTGTCGCTCCCAGATTATGGAATGGCCTGTCGAATGAGATCCGTTTTGTTACTACTCTAGACATTTTTTAAAAAGCTGTCAAGACGGATCTCTTCTGACAGGCCTTCCCTGAATAATCTCCCGGCCCTAGCATCCTGGCCACCTTTCCTTGGAACTGCTTCTGGACTATTAATCTGCAGTGCTATTTATTTTGTTTGTTGGTTTTTACTTTATTTTTTTTTTCATTGTAAACTTGCTCTTAATATTGCTTAGTTTAATACTGTTTTACGGTGGGGGGGGGGTTAGGAAATGATTGTTTGGATGTTTTTAATGTTGTAAGCCACCCCGATTGCATTGCAGAGGAGCAGGATAAAAATTATTATTATTATTATTATTATTATTATTATTATTATTATTATTATTATTATTATTATTATTATTATTTACCTGGATAGATAACCCATAACTTCCAGCTAGTTTTAAGGTATGATATGTCTTCAAAATGTAACCCCTGTGCACATAGCCCAGTCTGCATACATGCCCACACTCTGTGTATGTTCTGTGTTGCCCTCAGACCTCCCAGTCTGAGACACTCCAGACTTCCACGGTCTTCTCTTTGGACAGGTAAATATAACCCCATTACAGCCCCTAAAACACAGCTATCCCCTTTCCACATTTCCATTTCAGTTAGCTCTCTATGCTGTGTATTTCTTTAAATTGCTATCTTGTGTGTATGTGTGCACTCTGCATATTTTCTAAATAAAGATTCCTCAGTTCACTCAGAGTCTGGAATCCTCCCAGTTAGTACTGGTATATACTAGTGCCTCTGGTCCAAAGGTTACCCAAGCTTCTTGCAAAGCTAATTTTCCCAACATCTAAAGCAGGGGTAGGCAACCTTTCCCATTTAAGGGCCGAGGGACTTCAGTTCCCAGAAGCCTCAGCCATGTTGGCCAATAGTCCCATGTTGGCCAATAGCTCCTGGGATTCTGGGAGCTGAAGTATCTTGGCCCTTAAAGGGGAAAGGTTGCCTACCCCTGATCTAAAGTATTGCTGATGGCTGGCAAGGCACCCCCCCCCAATCCACACACCTGTTAATTGGATAACACAATTCCTGGAAGCTTTCAGAAGAAGCAATTTCATCCCTTTTGCCGAAAAAAAAAACTATTTGGGATACTGGGACAAGAGCTTCAGAAACTGCCTTGGGTTGGCACATCTGACCCTTGGATTGTTACACTTTGCCCACCTCAGTGTTTGAAATGAGCAGGC